GTTCTGAGACCAGAAGCCTCACAGGTTCCTATGGCTAACTGAATGGTTCCAGGGCTTGGGATCCTGGGTTCTAGGAGAAGGGAGCAGAGAGGACAGGGTTAGATTCAGGCAAGGCTTAGGTTCAAGGCTTAGGTTCAAGGCTTGGTTCAGGATCAGTTGTACCAACGCTGAAGCATTAACGAACTGACGCCCTCCTCCTGGTTCCAGCTCCTTAAAAAGGGTGGAAATCAGCTGATGAGGAGCACCTGCCCATCCAGCCCTGCAGAGAGAGAAAAAGGGAAAAGCAAAACCCCAGCCTGCACCCAGGACTGGGAGTATGACAATCAGGGATTGATGCTCTAGAATGGAAACCTTGTATGTCTGAAACCATTCCTTCATTGTACATTTTGTTAGCTTGTCTGTCTGCTATATTAACCAATATAATGTGTTGAACTAGATCTGCTATTTTCACAGCTTTTGTGAGACATTTTTTATAAAGAAGGGTATTAATTCATAAAAAAGTTTATTTGTATTGTATAAATTAAAGATTTTTGCCCAACAGCAATGATGAACTGCACCGCAGCATTCTGTATAAAGCTATTGTAGTATCTTGGCAAGAGCTGCCATTCTGGTAAAGAATCTGGTTGTTAATCCAAATTGTAAAGGTTAACTTTTTTGTGCAACATAAAAGTGACTAAAATGAGACTAAAGCCTTTTCAAGTTTTAGTCCACTAAAACCGACTAAAACTCACATATCATGATGACTAAAATATGACAGACTAATAATAGTTTTTGTCCTGAAGACTAAGACTAAAACTAAATCCAAGATGGCTGTCAAAATCAACACTGCAATGGTGTTGTGTCTGCATGGTTGTGTGTCTCTGTGTTGCTTTATGATGACATGGTAAACAATCCAGTGTGTATCATTTCGCCCTGACCCTGACTGACAAGTTTTAGAAGATGCTGTTTCAGGGTAAATGTTTCTTTCTATTTTTTTTAACCTGTAATAGCATCAGCCAACACCAAAAAAACACCTATTCAAAAGCCAGTAAGGTGCAAACATTACAATATTTTGGAGACAGAATATCCATAGAAACCATAGAAACTATGAAACACCTTTAAAACTACCTGCTTTTGTATTGCTTACATAGATAATTAATTTGTAAATCAGAGGTGGGTAGTAAAGGGCTGCATTTTGTTAGTTAGATTTACTTTAGCAACTTTTTGACAAAAAAAAGACAGTTACTTAGACTAATAAGTAAATAAAAAGACTAACTTAGACTCTTACTTACGTAAGAGAGATTTGAGAACTCTACCCACTGCAACTAACTTAAGAGAATAAGGAACAGGCTTGTCTTAACCAAACTGTTTCAAGTATAGTCACATAGCTATAGGCATTTGTTCAAGTAAATATTGTTTTAAAAAAACTAAACAACTTAGCATTTATCCACTGAGGCTAAATGACATGGGGAGGTCCAGTTGGCATAGATTAAACTGTAGTTAATATCAGTGGAGGTACTTAATGCTGTTCTAGCATGTAAATATTAACTATGGCAAGGACTAGTTTTACGTTTTAGGATGAGATTATGATTTTTAAAAATGTATCAGACACTAAACAAATTTTTGTTTGTACATAATTTTAAATAGTAAATCAAATGTTATGATCTGTTACTCAGTGCCTTTTTGCACATTTTATTTTTTATCAAAAAAAAATGTTAAAGTGGTGCTATTCTTGTTTAAGAATGGGTTTTGGGAACTCAAACCCACACGTTTAAAATACCTCTCTAATTTTACAAACAGCCTTTGGTGCAACTTTTAAAAGACATAGACGTCTGAAAAATGAAGAACAACCTAGTTTGACAAAAAGCAACTCCTTATATAGTTGGAGACAGAAAAGTTAAAAAACATTTCTAAATGAAGGCTGCTGAATCAGTGAGCGGTCACTGAGTAACACACAGTGCATTCTTACTTTTCCTAAAAATCAAATTTATGCAGGAAAGAAACTTGTGTTGATGGGGAAGGAATAAAGGGGAATAATGTCATGTCAGTGTCAGATCACTCTAGAAAGTGTCAGCAGTCAGACCACAAGGCAGACTGTGGGTTTTGTGATATAAAAGCAAACCTCCATTAGTGGAGTTTTGAAATGCTTTGAAACTCTTAACTCAAAACTGTTTTCAATGTTCGCTGAAGTTTTCAGTCAAAACCAGTTGGTTAACTAGAGATACATAAAACAGACCTTAAGCATTAAATTGCCTACCATTGCCTACATTGGGCTTGTGGTGCCCTGGGGATCATGGCTTTAGTCAGGGACCCAAAATTAAAGGGGAAAAAAAAGCATTCTCTCAAAAAACTAGGCCACCACTACCCAGATTGGCCACGTCCCCATGAAAAAGAATACAAACTAAGTTTAGACATAATTTAAACTATGATTCTCATCCGCTTTCAGCCATGCTTTATGGGGTTGTGAGGTTTGCTGATGCCTATCTCCAGCTGTCTACAGTATGAGCGAGAGGCGGGGTACATCCTGCACAGGTTGCCAGTCTATTGCAGGGCAACACAGAGACAAACGACCATTCATGCACACACTCTCACATGGCTTGAGAGATAAACCATTTACTGAATTAAATAACCACAAAAGACCCTAATTTAAAACACAACGGTGCCTTCATTAGCTTATAATCCTTATAATAATAATTATGCAAACACAACTGAAATAAGAGCAAATAAATAAAACAAGTAAAAGGGGGGAAATGGGTTTAAAAAGTCTGCTCAAGAGCAGATAAATATGAATAAAAGAAGTCAAAACGGTGACATTTCATTTAGTTTTACAGGGAAAAATTAACAATGATTCAGAAATGCATTAAACTGTAATGGAGCTGAAAGAGAGTGTGTTAGATTAGCTGTCCCCAGGAGGTCTGGTTCGGTGGGTCCAGCTGAAATAAAGGAGTTAGAGCTCACAAAATGGCCTCTATCATGTGGTCAGACATAAAGTAGCTGAGAGCAAACAATGCTAGTCAGTCCATTGTAGTAGACACAGATGCTAACACCATGTTGTTTGTTCAGTTTATCTACTTTACAGTTGAATAGTTTTTCTCTTTAATAATTTAAGGTTCTCAACAGAAAGTTAACACAGTCCTTTTATCACTTGCATTTAAGAGTTTAATTTAACAACTTATTTTAACAACAGTGGAGGAATTTGAAATAATATTGATGTCTGTTTTTTTAGATTGCTCTTGGTACTGATGTCCTTAAAAGCATATCCAGGAAGTCCTGCTCTTTACAATAATGCCGTGCTGCAAACACATGGCCAATATATTATATAGAACTCAGGAAAAGAATGTAATTTGATTGAATCCTGTTTCTAAATGTGCATAAAATTTGGGGAATCCTTTGCACAAAAATGAAGCTACAGCATATTTGTTTTACCCACTTAAATTTCTTTTAAAATGCAGAACAAACTCCTAATAATCTATGACGTGTCTGAAGATGTATTTAGCAAACTATACTATATATAAATAGATAAACAAGGGAAAAAATCAGCTTGCCTTAAAGGTCATATATTATGTAAAGTTTAAATTATAAACATTTGTAACAGTCATATGTGTCCTGAAGCCTGTGTATGAGATTCACAAATAAAAAAAATATTTTCACCTCTGTCATTGCCTTTCTCTACCTCTGGGCTGATATTTACTCAAAATGGTCTATTTGAAAACGTAAAATAAGCTGTCCAGAGCGGTCTGTATTTATTATTTACTTTATTATAAATAGTTTTTTACTCTTTTGCAGCTGAAATCATTAAAATATAAATACTTATAAATCTCATCTTTCTGTCTCACTTTTGATTCTTCCTGCTAGTGGGAAAGAGAAGCAACAGAAGTTCTCCATTAGTCTTTGACCTGAGCTCTTAGGATTTCATTTGCTGGACGTGTGAGAATCTACACCAGCGCCACTCCTAGCTGTATATTCCTTGTATTTCTCAGAATATCTATCCTGGTATAATATATTTACAGGCTGAAAAGACATTTTGATATAAGGAGTAAAATTGTAAGATTGTGTTTACTGCGGTCATGGGCTGATCATCAGATTTAAAAAAAAAAATAAGAAAACCAATAATAACCATAAATGTTGTTCGAACACAGACTGTTCTTTAAATTGTAAGATCTGGTTTTTAGCTCACATTAAACAAACCAATGGGTCTGTACTGGGCAAATTTCCAACTCCTTAATAAAGTTAAACTGATCTACTCTATTCTTAGCTGTTCAGCATTTATATAAGCATGTTTTTTATATTTTCTTACCTCACCACTACTATTGTAGTACTATTCAGAATCAGAATCGGGTTTATTGCCATTGTTAGTGAAGGAGTTCACAACTAGGAATTTTTTATGGTACAATCGTGCAACATGAAACATATATGAAATAGGTAAATAAAATTATAAAAATCTCTAAAAACACTGGGGTATAAGGCATGCAAAAAATATACTAATATATACACTTAGGATAAAAATATGGATAAATAAAAAAATATATATATATAAAAAATAAAAATAAAAAATAAAATATAAAAAATAAAATAAAAAAATATTTAAAAAAAAATCTTTTCAGAGGATTTTAGTAAAGTCTATCCACATTGCAAATAAGGATTACCTCATAAACACAGAAGCTGACAGAATTTTTATCATTTGAATATTTTTTTATGTATGTTCAAGAACAAAAGTCAGAATTTACATTTTGATTGTTGTGGTTTCTTACTTTTGAACACCACAGAAGCATAATTCATTTCCTCCTCTGCCATCTATGGTGTTACTTTGAAAAATGACTTGACTTAAACCGGAACACCTCTTAGGTTGAGTAACATAGCAGATGGGTTTAGTTTTATTTCCTCTGAGGCAAGCCTTCCACCTATAGATATATATATTTTTTTGGCTGCAGACATTTACATGGAATTATTTTTCTTCCTACCTCTAAAGTTAACGGTCTTGGGGGAAAAAGTAGTCAGTTCTTATCAAAAATTTGCCAGGTCTCAGCTCTTTGAATAATACATTAATCACAGGAAAACGATGGAGCTCTTTAAAAAAAAAAAATTAAAATCTTCACCAACTGAGAAGATATTTGGGTTTATAAAAGCAAAATTGTCTTGAAAACATCTTGCAGATTGTGTTACTGAATTAAATCAATAATCCCTAAAACTAAATGTTTCTTTTAGGTATAACCCAATCCGCAGCCGCAATAGAGTTTACGTAATGATGTATCTGAGCTGAGTTGTTTTCTACTTCCGGCTGCTTTAGATCACCATTCAAATGTAAAATAATAACAAATGTAGGTAATAATATACTGACTCCATAAGAGGTCTGATTCTTCAAAAACGGATGCATTACAGTTTGTCCAATTGTAATTGTCATATGATGACATCATAAGAAGGGGCAGGGGCCCCAGCAGATCTGAACACGTGGGCAGACTCACCATAGACATAATATGAGAGTAGAACCCACATCTATTGCTTTTGCCTATTGGCGCTGACGTGATTTAGTGGTGCCATCTTGGGGCGGAAATGTGTTGAGCAGGCACAGAATCAACTTAAATGAGCTTGAATTCCCTGAATATTCCACAACATTTTACGGGTATGCATTTTTGCTGAAAACGTCATCGTCCTCAGAGGGTTAACATCAGCTAAACACTAGTTAATGTTTAGTAAGATATTAACATTAAATATCTGTCTTTGTCGCTCCTTAATCATGTTAGCAGAACCAGCAGCTCCATATCTTCACATTTTTAATATTAAGAATTTTGTTTAAACATATATATTTATATATATATATATTAAATCAGTTAGCCTTTTACAACAGAAACATCAAATTCAGTGAGTCTTTTCTCATCTCTTTTTGTATAAATGTTAATAAATGTTACTTTAGTTCATTTTTTGCTCCTCATAATGGTGAAGCTAATCACAGCACATAAAGCTTAGAAGGGAGGAAAAAAGTGCGGACAGACATTTGAAATCAGAAGACGTTAGTACAGAGAGGAGATCTGAGACACAACAAAGCATCCCCTTTGGAACATTAATGTAGTTTTTTTTTTTTCAGTATACGCAGTAGATGTAGGATTTGATATATTTTAAAGATGTGCACTGCTTAAAGCATGATTTCTTATTCTATAGTCGCAAATACAGACTTTTCAAATACTACTTCATATATTTTTAATTGGGAGAGCAACAGAAAATAAAAAACAAGCCTTGGTAAATGTGGATAAGTATATATTTTTACTGAGTCTAACATAAAAAGAGCAACTTTTTTCCCTCAATATTTTACTTTTATTTGCAATCAAATTTTAATGTTTATATACATTTGAATGCCTTTTAGTATTTTAAATGTGTCCTATTTAACAGTTAAAGCCTTCTTCTCACAGATCCAGGCGTTCTTCTCATCACAGCTAACTGATCTCCATCCTCTGCCTTGGAGAACAGTCACACACTGACCATCAGTTGCATTGTGTTTTATCCAGCCCCTGAAGAGAAACATCAGTTAGATATAAAATTAATTGATTCAATAGAATTTATAGAATAAGATTCCATAAATGTTCAAAAAATCCAGTAGACTTGGTTTCCAAGATTCAAAAACGTTTCGCCACCTCTCCAGGAAGCTTTCTCAATTCAAATGTGAATAAGAATAGAATAAGAATGTGTGTGTCTCTTACGTATTGATCAGTTCAGCCCCGTTGATCCATTTCCATTTTCCTTGAACAGCTCTCAGGCCAATCCAGTATCCCTTAATGCCCTTTATAGCAGGACTAAAGTTGTTGTTTATCTCACCCTATGTTTCACATGACAATAATAAAGATAGGGATTTAAAAACTGTACATGTATGATTAACAGTTTCTTAATAAAAAAATGTTAAAATTAACACAAGCTTTTAACCTTTTCCACATCATTTTCTACAACAGTCAGATCTGAAACCATTCCTCTACAGTTTTCTCTTGCTTCAGTCCAGTTTTTTCTATCCTTTTCCACTGCATCATTATATGCATAGCAGTTGGTTTGGAATTTAAGCCATCCTTTCTGACAAGGGTCACACTTTCTGCCTTAAACAAAAGAGATAAACAACATGTTTAGCTGCAAAATGCTATTATTGTCTGTTGCTTTTAAATATCAGGAGATCTGTTCTTACCATTTGTTTCTTTGGGACAGTATTCATCAATGCTCCACTGAGCTCTGCTGACATTAAGCTCATTGTTAATTTCCTTCAGCTTTTCTATTTGTTCGTTCAGGGTTTCCTTCTCTTCCTCCAACTCATTGTTTTTCTTTTCCACTTGATGAAGTTCTTTCATAAGATAAGTGTAAACTAAAACAAAAACAAACAAACACAGTAATGGCAGTGGAGCACTTCATCTTTATCGGTTATCCTTTTGTCGACAGGTTTTTGACCTAAATAATTTGAGTTGATAACTTGATGTGCAAATGTAAGAAGAATAAATAAATCTGCAGAAAACTGATTATTTTACCGTAATGTTCTCTAAATTTTTTAAGCTGGAAGTAGATGGACTGATTATACATCATATGAAATAAGAAAAGTTATTTAACTGATTTATTTTAGAAAATAATCATAGATTACAATGTTATGCTTATAGTGTTAACAGTCTAGAAAATAAACACCATAAAAAGACATTAGGCCTTTAAAAGGAAGCTTGTTATAGCCGTTTCTGGCTCCCACATCCATAAGGGCCTCTTATACCAATGGCTGCCAGGCAATCAAAACCCAGGTATTCGACCCCTCTAGGCCAGATTCCTCCCCAACTGCAGGTTGCCGACTGCAGGCATAGGCCGCATGCAGGGTAAGGGTAGACCCACACCACAGGCCAAGATGT